AGGAGGGGAGGGGAATCTTTCATCTCTGGAAAGTAATGAAGAGGCCCAAAATAAGATCAAGGTCTGACTCTAAGTGGTTCTATCAAATTATATAGGAATATAATGAGTTCTACACAGTCTAATTTTCATATGCAGCTCTACAATATCTCCCCCAAAGCAAAAGAGACAGAATATTTAAACTTGGCTCAAAAGCTGCTTAATGTAAAGAATTGAGAGGAAGGGAAGTCCAAATGTGCGTACTTCGTTTCTCAGAAAGGTTAAGATGACAGAAAGATGATCTGCAGAAACTGACTTTTCTAATTCTGCTGTAACTCCGTCGCCTATTGCAATAGCCAGATGGAGCCAGGGTTAGCAGAATAACAACCAGTACTTATTATATGGGCCATTTGCTTTTTAAACAGCTATTATTTCGCTCACTGTTCAAACGCATGTAATAACCCCGAGTCCTAATTTGGCAGTCCAGCCTGTTTCCAAGCTTTGTTAAAGATGGCATATCAGCTTCTCGGAGCCATAAGTAGGACAGATGAGTGTCGCATGATTATATTGAGGAAAGCACTCCACAAGCAGTAGATTCATTTAATTTCTTGTCTGCTCTAGACAGTATTTTTTATTTTTTTTTCAAAAAGAAGAATTTTCTGTTTTCCACTTGCAAAGGAAAACTATCCCAACAGAACAGGGGAGCTAAGCTGTTTTCCACCAGATGAAGATTGAATTCATCCCTTTTCTAAGTTATACGTGTGTATTGAATTACCACTCAGGAGTACAAATTGAAGTCTTTGCTGAATTTATTTTTTTTTTGGACTCTACTTTTATTATAAAATTCAAAGACAAGATCATTTCAAGTGCAAACTCAAACTAGCATCCGATGCAGACAAATGCACGAAGAAGAAAAAAAGAGCATTTACTGAATGGCTCTGATATTGTACCCTAGAAATAAAAATCAGATCAAAAGTATTCCGTTGATTACTTTTGAGAGAAGCTTCATGTCAGCAGTAAAAGACCAGCGGTGTACACGTACTGCATCCCTGGACTCACTGCAGCAGTCACCAACAGGACTGCTCAGATTCAAACTAATTGCTTGGGAGATAAAATGTGAGGCACTATTAAATATCCAATGTAGCTGCATTTTCTGCCAGAAATGCTCTTCATGTGGTTTTAGAAGATAAAGTTGGGTAGGAGGAGTAATGCTAATAACAACTCCAGCCCAAAGAGGGAGCAGGAGGGGGCACAGGACCCACACATCCAGGACCTGACATACGTGTGCTCCAGCCCATCTCCTTGAGCAAAGGCGCAGAAGATCTGGGAAGCTGAAGATGTCTGGCAAATATGAAATTATGTCATAGATTGTAACTTAATAGTTTATGATACCACATAAATCAAGAGCGAACATTATCTCCATAAGAACTAGATGAAAATCATTAATAAATAATAATTAGCTGTTTCCTGGGCCTGCCATCTGGTAAGCATTTTTCCTAGCCTGCAACTCCTGCTTCTTTCCCTTCTCCAACGCAGCTGAACAGTGAAGGCATGCTATTCTATTTCTCCTTTGCCAGCCCCTTTGGATAATGCAGGTACCCAGGATGCTGTCGGCCCCTTACATCATCCTCACCACCTATCTCAGCGCTCTACACGTGCAGGGCTCCTCTGCTATTCTGCTTATTCAGTCTCCAGTTTCTTAAAAAGCAGCAAGGAGCCAGAAGTTATTGAGACCTGCCTTCCACCCTGCTCTCAGAAACACGTGGGCACTAAGATAACCAAATTAATCATTCCAACCTGTAAGTGGCTGTCATTAGTATTATTATTTTCATCATATAAATTATCTTCCAGATTAGGTCATATGCATTTTGAGATCCTGTGGTTTCCTAGCAACTCCTCTTACCACTCCACATGCAGACACAGTGTGCCGTTTTCTTTCCTTTTTTAGACTCTCTGTGCAGGGGTTATATTCAGTAACAGTGATCTCAGGCCTGGCCCTAATGACCTTTAGTCTGCCACATTTGTGGGATGAGATGCAGAAGACAGCTATCCCCTCCAAAGACATTTGCTGCAGATGGTCAAAAACCCATGGTGCTGCACTTGGCTTTCTCCTGTCCTGCAGAGCAGAAGTACTGAGGCATGCAAACAGAGATGAAATAACAAAAGCATCCCCACAAGCGTTACAAACTGGCAGAATTTGGAAGACCCCATCAGCCTAATCTTGGACAGTTAAATATGTGTCAGTACATAGTGTAGGGTCCTCTGCAAAACACTGCTCCTTCGAAGTCTGTGTGGGGCACCCTAAGTGCAAGGCTTCTGCTCCTGCACTTTACTCTTCCCCTATCTGTCCAAGCGTACCTTTGCTGGCCTGCCCTGTCCAGACATATGGATCCCAGCACGTCAAACAAAACTCTGCTGAAGCAGCCAACTTTTACCTGCTTTGTCTGTAACCCAAATTGTAAGCGTGCTGCCAGGTGCCCTTCTCACCCACAATCCACTCAGCTCAGTCACCCAGACCGGTGTCCAGCCTCCACTGCAATGCCAGGGGAGAGCTGCTGTGCTGCTCTCAGGTGTGATTAAAGTACTGCATCCTGCAGAAACACAAAACACCTACCTAGACATCTTGTGAAGCTCGCACAACTTGATAGACATACTTTGTAAATAATGCACATTTACACATAAACAGATTTTCACATAAAAACCGTGAACCATAGCTTTAGAGTTGTTTCTAGTCCAACTTGGGAAATTATCTGGAGGGCCAAACCAATTTTAGGCACCAATTTTAATTAACTTCTCTAGCTGACTTAATCAAGATATCTACCAAATTTAATCATGATGGGGGCACAGAGTTAGGTGATGTGACTATCCTAGACAGTCTTTTGTGTAAGGAAAATAGGATTAATTTCTGCCCTGCCCCACTGACATTTTTTAAAATAACAACGTCTGTTCTAAACTACAAAAGCTATGGGGTTTAATTATTAAGATAGCTAGTGGCCCTGTTTCAAAGGAGAAAAGAGAACAGACCTCAGAAACGAACCATCTCCAGTCCATGTGGAGTACAGCTATTAATATTTGATCTCCTGCTAGCCTGAAGGCAAAGGGAATAATGTTCATTACAAGAGCCTAAGACTGAATCCACTTTAACAATTGACTGAACCGACGATGATAGCAACTGAACTTTTCCTGCTGTATGTGAGGTGGGTAGGTTGAGGGACCCGAACACTTCCTGCAGCAAAAGGAGCTGATGTTCTGTCAGGCACAGAAAGGAAAAGGAAGGAAAAAGTCTTCTGTGGTTGCCAGAGACTCACTGTAAAGACCATCACTGGATCCACCATCCAGCCCTGATTACAGAAGAGAGAAGATCATTGTGGATAGCAACAGACACACATGACAATGTAACTAACAGGGAGAAAGTACCACGTAATTAAGAAAAGGACCAGTCTTTGATCCCTTATCCCCACTCCCTCCCCTAAGTCATCTGCAGGTTCACTCAGGAGTTACACCAGTGTCAGTAAACCTCATGGAGCACAGGCTGAGACTTGGCTGTTACCTGCAGCTCCTAGCTTCTAGTCTGATTTTTTTTGCTCTGGGTTCCAGTCTGAGACCAGTCCCTATTTAGGTCCTGAAGAAATTTGCAAAGACCTCAGAAAAAATGAAGATCAAATTTTGTATTCTTGTTGCATCTTCAGTATAGAGTAATTTTCATCAGATTTCACGCTCATATACTTGGAGTATTAACATTAAAATGGGACAATGAAATCTAGGTGAAATCTAGAAAAGAAATTCAATTTCGGATGCCCCCATTTTGGGGTGCCAAAAAGCATGTCTATTTTTCAGGCTGTTCATAGTCTGTGACTCCTAATTAAGGCTGCAAAGCACCATCCTGTGCGTGTTGTTTTCTAAGAAATTGCCTGTTTAAGCAGAAGCTCTTTAAGGTTAAACAAATCTTTCAAATATTGAGGGCCAGAGTCACTCATGCATGTGCAGTAATAGAGCTCCTAGAATTATTACACTCTCTGGACCCACTGCAGATATTTGCCTCTTGGCTTTACTGTTCATACAGTGTATACCCATTAGCACCTCTAATTAGAAAGGAAAATCACGAGTTCCATGTTATTTAAAAGATTATGCAGCATTTTAAAATACAGCACAATGTAATTATTTTTAATAGCCACAGCTATTTCATGTATTTACTTTTAATGGTGTTTGAGTCATAAATTAACAGGAGAAAAGAAAAAGGCAAATCAGCACTTGACAGAAAAGCAGGCAACATTTGAAAAGACTAACTGGAAAGCTAAAAAACCTGTGTGATCAAAAGAGAAGAGGGCCTTATTAGTTTTTCTTGCTTGCTTTGTTCCAGGCTGCTTTTTATCATTTAACTTGTTCCTCTAGATGTCAAGAAGGTCAGGGATAAATAAAAATGAGAAGAGTGCTGATGCAGAATGAAATTTGGAGATTCTGTCATTCTCCAAAGAGATGCATGTTTCGGGACAAACAGTCCTGTGTTGTCAGATACCACAGGTAATGAACTAACGTTGCCAGCGCAGAGGACAAAAGGAACAAATAAGGTGCCTTTGTTTACCGCAGGATGAGGAACGTAGACTTTTCATTAGTGTTTCCTGATGAACCAAGGATCTTTGCTACTTGACTGGTAAGTGAGCACGTTACCAAGCATCTCCCAGCTCCGCTCCCTCAGAACGCCTCTCAGCAGCATCTCCACCACCACCGGGTACCAGGTGTCCGTGTGTTTGCTGCAGGAACTTGTTTCTTATCTCTGGAAAGGCCACTAACACTGTGTCAGCTGTGTTCTTTATATCTACATGGTCATCTGGGCCCTGGAGACAGCCCTGTGCTTGCTGTTCTCTCCAGCAGCCTTGTCCTGCCCACACACCCCCTGCATTTCATCCCCAGGTCTTTTCAGGTACAGTGAGATCCTGACATTGCCTTCGTCCTGGTACAGACAGCACAGGCCTGACCGCTTGGTGTGCCAAAGTATAAATCCAGCTTATTTGTCTCCTTCACAGAAAGCCCGGCTCGCGAGGATTCGAGTGGCCAAAACGGGCAGCTCCAACGCCTACCTGCACAGCAAGCGCAACGGCCTCCTGAACGAAGCCCTCGAGCTGACGGTGAGTGCAGACAAAACGCCTCCATCCGTGAGTTTGGGCAGCTCCCTGCTCCCACCCGTCCCTGGGCTCCCTCCCCATTGCCACCCGCATCACTGGCCCTGCAGCACAGCAGCCTCCCCGGAGGGCTGTACCTGCACTACTGCATGTGCTGAGTCCAACTGCAGGACTGGAGCAGGGGAAAAAATACTTCCTTGGGCTCCTTCTTGAGCTGGGAAAGGATCTGGCCTTCCAGCAGAGGCCACGTTCACAGCTTGTTCAAACCTCAGTGTGATGAAGCTGTGGGAGCTGCGCCGCTTTGGACCACCCAGCGTCTGCCTGGGCTATAAATATCCGCAGTCGTTCAACATATAGTTATTTATTTTTAGAAGTCTCTCCCTAACAGGGACTATCTGCCTAACAGGACAGGAAAATATTCCCTAGCTCCTGTTTCAGACAGTTTGGTGGTGGGTTTATTTTTAATAGAAAGGCATCTGGAGGCTAATATTAGCTATTCACGAGAAGAAGAAATGGAAGTGCGTCAGATTGCTCAGCAGAATCAGGGAAAACGAGAGCAGGTTATTACATTAAGCCTGATCAACACCAGAGCAGGTATTAGCACATTTCATGGATTCCATTTCAAATAAAGCAGCCTTTCGTACAGGTGGGGAGCAAGGAATGACACGAAGAATGCCTAATTGAGCCACCAGAGCCGCCTTGCACTTGTTCGTGCATCCCTACTTGGGGCCTAATCCTTCAAATGTCTATTTTCCCTGGCATACATCCCTGCCAGGATGTTTGCATTTGTAAAATCAAAGCTGAAAACTCCTTTCAAGCTCATGGTGTTACAAGCTGCTTGCTAGGACCTGAGCCCATTCCTACCCAAGATCAGCGGGTCCAGCACACAGAAGCAGGGTGTGCATCACCTGGTTTTACAGGTAGGACGTTTCTCGGTGCAGACCTAGATAAGGGAGTCTGGTCTTTTGTAACTGGGAGTAGCTTTCAAACATACTTTACGTGAAATATGGAGTGGGAAGGCAGGATGCCCGGATCAATTTCTGTGCTCCCCTCCAAAACAAGTTCGATCATCTACACAAATAACTACACAAATAACGTCCCTGCTCAACAAATGGCAGTGACGCTTGGAAAAATCTGTGGTTCTTGAACCACATGCTGCTCTTCAGCAGCTCAAGGAAAGTTTCTATATCAAGAAAATATTGAGACCATGAAGACTGGTCACAGGTAGTCCAGAGATTAATCCCCACCAAGGAAAGGCTCAGGAGTGGGACACCACCACAGCTGAGTCTACTGTGTCATTACTCAGGAACAGTCCAAAAATTGGCTATAATTTAGACTTTTGCTTTAAATTTCTATAAAAAGAAAAAAAGAAGCCAGAGGAGCTTAGCATGGCCACAGTTTTCACTTGATCTTCCAGCCTGTCATCCCGACATGAATCTCCTCACATCTCTCATCAACCAAAACTCCCTGCCAAGATTGCTCACAGGAGAGCAGCTGACACACCAATGCTTAAATCCAAAATGTACGAGGTTGAGAGCAATATTTGGCTGAATGGGTTCATTTTCTGGCACCTGCCCAAAAATAATTGGAAGAAGGGTCTTTTTGTTGGCTACCAAGCTATTGTACACACAGGAAAGATAACAAAAACATTTCTGAAGAGTCTCTAAAGGATTTCTTCTACCCGTTAAAAAGTTAGATATAGATTAGCGCCTAGAGCAGGCCTTCCCAAGCTTTCCTGGGTGCAAATTGCTTTCTGGTGGGCCTACAGCTCTAAACGTTAACACAACTTCCCCACAGCCCAGTAAGATCCGTGAACTCTGCTTGGGAGCACCAAATGTTATATACATTTTTATCATTACACAGTAAGAAAATATCCCCACCCTACAGAACTTCCGGATGAAACAGCCAAAAGCAAAGGCGAAGGGGAAGGCAGGCAGAACTACCATCTGCCTGTGCCACACAGGAATATCAGGGACTAGAACAAGACACCTGCCAAAGCCATGCCTGGCATCTGCATCACCAGGAAATGATCTGTGGCTACCCTAGCTCCTGATTCAAGAACCAAGACATCTCTCCACCCAGGGACAGGGGCAATAAATCACTACAGATCTGCAGGGCACCCTTTGTCAGAAAGGTGTACACAACCACTTAAACTCCACAAGGCAAGATTTTGTGTCCTTTCATTTTATGGCAGCAGAACAAACTATTCTTAAGAGAGTACAAGATGTGAATGACAGCACAGTCTAGCCAGCCAAATTTTTAGGCTGGAAAAAAAAGTGAAGGAAGGAATGTGACTTGTACAGTTGCTATAGTAGGGACCAAAGTATTATCCACATTCTGTGTACATCCCTCAGTCAAATTAGTATCAAACTGCTTCATTGGTCAGGTGCACATCCCGTTTTGATACCTTGCCCAGGACTCATGCTAACTTGAACGGACTTCACGTGGCCAGATTGCCATTGGGCTTCTTTGGTACCCAGCAGCAATTCCAAGTGCAATTATGATGTGGCCATGATGAGATATTATCACTTTCATCATTAGCAATCACACAGTACTGTGATCAATGTATAATTGTTTTACAAGCGTCCAGCAGATTGCCCAGCAGTCTGACACCCTGAGGGCTTAACTAAGGGGGAAAAAAAAAATCTGCTCCAGAACATCCCCCAGCTCCGACGCTGCAGTCAGACTAATAAACGGGGAGAGAAGGGCTGCTCAAGATTCCGGAACATGTGCCAGAATTTCCTTTCATTAGCACCAGAACGAACACACTAACGGCGTCTTTCGAGGGAACAGCATGTCTTCAGCCTGTAGCCTTGCAGCAGAGTAAAGAACACATGAAGGAAAGGATTGATCCAAGGACAGCAGCAGGAAGAAATTCTGTTCCTAGCAAGAACACAGACTTTAGAGACGTGGATTTGTAGCATTTTGCATTTGCCATCTAGACACCAAGTACTCGGAGCTTTTTCTTCTCATTTAGAGAGCTTTTTAGTGGGCTTTATGTCACAAGAGCTCAAGAGATGGTGAGCTCCTTCCCATGGCAGCAGCCTACATATCCTCTTAGTGGTAATCTCCTTGTACAGCTAGCCGAAATTCCCTTTTAGCTAAAATGCTAGGCAGCGTATATCCTAGGAACAGTAGGTTGTGAGGTCCTGTCCCTTTTCACAAGCAGAATCTGCTTAGCCATAGATAAGCATTATAGCCATTCTCACGGCGAGGGACAGTCTAACCACTGAACCAGCTCGTCTCAGTTCACCAACGTCCAATTTCGTGTGCTGAAGCACTAAGTAGAGGATACCTCTGTAGTGGAAACATTTTGGACTTCAGAACCAATGCCACAGTGTGTTTAAGTCTCCCTCGAAGCAACCAACAGCTCAGCAAACGCCTTCCAAGAACAAACTGAATGGGAGCTGGCATCAAACCCTGCAAAACTGGCACCCAGCTCAAACAGCAAGCCAGCCCCCGTCCTCCCCCCACCATTTTTTTCATTTACAGCCAGACTTTCTAATGAAGACAGAGATTTTGTTTGCCTGCAGTAACACAGGTACCACTAATGCAATCTCTGTAGGTACACAGCCCTCAGCAGCACTATCAAAATGCCAAGCGTTTGTGCAGCGTTGGTACTCTCCTGTTCAAGGTGCAGTGCCTGCAGATCTCTCTTAATTTGCGTGCTAGGATGTTCTGAAAGGCTGCATGCCTTCTTGTTCTAAAAACACCTATCTGGCTGAAGAAAAAGGTGAAAAGATAAGGTAGGAATCATACTCACTGATGCTACACTGATGCTATTCCTGGTCACTGCCATCCCTTGATCCATTTCCATCAGTGGCAACATTTGCCTTGTAATGCAAGGCAGAGAAAGAGACTGAATCGTGCTGCCAAAATGTGACATTTGGCTTCGGTCTTCTGCCAAAAGTAGGGAAGCTTTGTCTCTGTCTCAAGCAAATCCTCTCATAAAGATACTTTTTGCAATATCTGCTCTTCCTCCCTCCTTTTCCAGAGCGTTTTAGTGCAGTCTTATATTTGCTTTAAGGCTTGCAGGGACCTCCTTGGGAAATATTCCAACACAGACTTCACCAGAGTCAGTAATCTCAGTAGGGTAGGAACAGGATCTGCTTGCTGTGTTAGTTCACCAGGAGGATTGTTAATAAGAAGAATGGAACTGATTATTTTTTTTAGGCTACTCTTAAAAATACTTCTGGGAATGCTCAACCTTCCAAAACAAAAGCAACAAAAAATCCATAACCTGCTTAAGAAGCATTCCCACAGGAATCTATTAATTCTGCGTACAGAAAGTCAGCTTTCTAAGTGTACCAATTCAGCGATGTTTTGGCATCTGTCAGAGACAGAGTTATGCCTTCACTTAAGGATTGCAGAGCCATCCAGGAAATGGCACATTTGCAGTGAATCATTGTGCCACATGGGTGTATCTAAAAGCAATGCCTTAAGCACAGCTGAATTTGACCCCCTTTAGAGCAACAAACAAAGTCTTGGCACTTCTGCCAAGAGGCTCTGCTGCATCTCCCATCCCACCCACTTTCTGTCCTGACCAGTCAGATCCTGCTGGTTTGTGGCTAAGCAGAGACTCAAGCCATGCACACCCAGTTTTGACTTTCAGATTTAGGCATTACAGAAGACACCAGGCACCCCTTACTAGGGAGCACAGGGAAACATTGCACAACGCCTAATTGCCATTTTAATGCATGTAATTGTCTTTGGAAATGCTAGCCACCAAAGGCATGCACAGATTAATGTGTCACGGAACTGCAATGAATTTTAAGATCAAGGACTTTAAACAGGAGCAGTGAAAAAATGTCCTAAACAACCCAGATTTTAAACCTCCCACTGCAGAACAGAGAGAGTGAGAAAAATAACTGGCTCTTAAATATCCCAGAAACTCTCTAAACAACCACTATTACTGCTTTTCCTTCAATTTCTGAGGTGTATCTGATCACCAGATCACAGCATAAGTGACAGATGCTGCAGTTTGGGGAACGCAAGCACCTGAGTCACTGATGCAGCACAGAGATCAGAAGCACAGAGCTCTGCGTGCCCTCCCCCTGCTCAGGGTGACTAAGGCGGCCTATCGCTACCCTAATGAGTGCTCAGTGCCAGGCTTTCTGCATGAGCTAAATAAATAAACCAACAGGAGTGCCCCAATAAGTCTTGCTGACTCCTCAGATCGCTATGCCAAAAGCAGCTTTATCCCACCCAGCTCTTCCCACACCTACCTAGGAGGGACCACTCCTTTTAACATGTTTTTGACATAAATACTCTCACTTGTACCCAATCCCTTCCCCAAAGGTACAATCTGCCTGTTTGACTCTGAACACACCCCGCTCTCCAGATTAGCTAACAAATTTGTTAGCTACATTTAAGCGGTTTGAGCACAATGGGAAATGGGGGAAAGCCAGTCCCTCACTGCACAGTCAGTCAAATATCTGGATCAGGAGCTCTTTGGGCAGGCTTGCCTTGTTTGGATTTTGTGCTAGGTGATGCACAGGGGGTTCCCTCTCAGTTTGCTGTGCTCCTGGGCACCGTGTTAATGAGACATCAAACACAGGACCCCATTCTACAGAGAGAAAGCCCCAGCTCAATGAGAACCGAATGGAGACGGACCCTCCTCCTAGGGAACTGCTGCTGCGTTTCACATAGACGTAAACCCTTCACCACTGCTGTGCGGAGAACAGTTGGCCATGTTCACATAGAGAAGAGACAGACCTAGGAGTCCTGCCTCCAGGAGCAGCATTACAAAGTCTGACACATAAAACCCACATTCACACTTTCTGACCTGGCGCTGAGCTGTGCCTTGGGAGGTCCCAGCACAACACACGCCAGTGCCAGCAGAGCCAGCAGCTCAGCAGAACTAAGGCAGCACACGCTTTGTCTCCTGAGAGACAGCAGAGTCCAAGGCACATCTGTTGGCACTCAAAGGTCGCGACAAGTTTAAAAGTCTTAACAGCTTTAGGAAAAATAAAACAGCAGAGGTTTTTTTTTATTTACCTTCTGGTTCCAGAGCCTTTCCACCACACAACAGCAGTGTTTCCTCCACAGCTACAAAATGGCTAGAAACACACTGGGTTTGAATCAAAGCTCATTTGCCCCACCTGAGTACTAGCCAAATAATTAAGGAAAGAAAAAAAGAATAGTTACTCTCATGAGATTCATGAGAAAAACCTGAGAGATGACAAAGCTGAAATTATCATCTTTATCCCTGTGAAAGCTGGTGGTTGTTTGTTTTCATGCTTTTACACCTGGTTTGGGTTTTTTGTTCCTCCCTCCCCTTTTTCTGACTCTAGGGATCCACCGAAGATGAACAGCATATGACTAAAGGCACCTCCTTAATTGAAAGCCAACATCACCACCTGCTGCACTGCCTGGAAAAAACAACCGTAAGTAGCAACACAACCCTTTCTACATCTTACTAAGTCTTTGTGCCTGTCCCAGGCTTCATAAGGACAAGTTGTGCACATAGGATGCTCTGAACTGCCACTTGGGTGGGCACACATCCCAGGTGGACCTCCAAGCTGTGCCAGAGCAGACTGACACCCCCGTTCCCCCAGAATACCCTACAATGGAATAAATGTATTTCAATTTCATTGAGTCTTTAAAAAAAAAAAAAAATCACTGTACAAAGGGATAGGGGCATGATCGTCTGCTACTCCGGTCACTTACACCAGTACAGAGTCAATAGCAGGTTGCTCAGTTCACTGGAATACAAATAACTTTTCAGCAAGGGGTTAGGGAGATCCTATAGACCAGCTGCATACTGAGTTTAAGTTTTTCAGTGCTTCTGAAAGAGAAACAAACTGCGTTTGTCTTGTGCTGTCAGTCCCACTTTGTATGTACTCGTTGCTTGTGCCACTTATTACCACTGGACGCTTCTACTGTCTTAAGAGGAAGAAGCTGCTGTCAGCGAGTACAAACCCCAACTTGGTCTGTGCCAACCGGGGACCAGGCTGGAAAAATCAACCTTTAGCCCTTTTTATGGAGCAGAGCAGATGAACTCTCTTAGTGGGTTTAAAGGTTGCACGTATCTTTCCTGGTCGCAAGACACGGTAATTTATCTCAGAGCCAGCCAAGCAGTTTCTCTGACAATGACTTTTCTGTTTGTGTCGTGCAAGGTGTTGGTGTAAGAATTTTATTTTTTTGTTATTAAGTTATTCTGTACACAGAAGTCTCTTGGAACATTTCAGATATTTATCTGATACGTATGTTTTACTTCCAGGTTTATATAAAAGGTTATGCAGTAAAGGAACATAGTATCTATACCATGATTCATTCTAGAAAGAATGAAGAGAGGTTAACATTTGAAATATTCATGACTTTTTCTATCTGCATCCATCATCAAATGTACTTTTGATTTCTGACTTGCAAGAGCTTTCTTTTAGACAAATCACCTTCACTTCCATAGTTTGGCTTATGCTGGAATAACATCACTTAGGCTTCAGCGATACACTGGAAGAAGAAGACTGGTTAATTACAGTGACCTGTGAGCGAGCACAGCTGCTTTATCACAATGAGCTAAGAAGGTCACCTTTCTAAGGACAGTGAACTGATTCTTCCTGTATCAATGACTATTGAATCCATTTGATAAGACTCATCTTGCCGTTGTCTCTAGCAGTTTTGGATGTTACATAACAAGCAGATATTTCACAATCTGACTCTTCGGTTTAGAACTCCATGCTTAAAAGCTTTACTGCTGTGACCCATATTTCACATGAATACTTCCATTTGAAAACTTTACCAAACTGGCTGAGGCAAACAAAAGCTGGCAGCCCTGCCTCCAGGGTCTGCTCTTGTAAGGCCCCAACCTTGTAAAAGCTGCTAGGCGCTCTGACCTCCGCACCGTGGGCATCTCTGGGAGCCACGTGAGTCACTCCATTACCAACAGGCCAGCTAGGGTGCTGGAAGTAACAAAGCCAGTCCTAATTTGTGGATGTATTGGCTTGCCACATTAACAAAGCCACGCTGCCTCCAGCACGCAGCCCTGCTCAGTGAATCTCAGTGGCTGAAAACGTTTCAAACATTGCTTTTTTCAGCAATGACTGGCAATAACAATGATACTCGGAATTGAATGAAAACCTAGAGGGAGAATCTGCACCGTATTTAATGCTTTTTCCCCCACATATTTCAGCCAGTTATTACCATGGATTTTTTTATTAAATCACACAGCTAGGTTGGATTCTGGTCTCAAGTTACCAATCCAAATTGTTCAATCAGCCTGTGCTGTGATTCTTAAGCTTCAAATAAACTCATAAAATACAATGCGGCATTTCTCCCCCCAAAACCTTAGATTGTAAAAAAAACGAATTTTTAAACACTGCAGAGTCATTTTGTGATGAAGTTGCAGGAATGGAATGAGGAATGTACCATGGTTGCACACTTGTTTCAATGGGCAATTCACCTTTCCTCAAACTAGGCAGAAAGATTCGAAAAGTGCCTTTATTTATTGCCACAGTATCTGCAGTCGCCATGAGCATACAGTCTTATAATTGAATGGCTGTGAATGGCGCAGAAATCTGGTGTATAAAATGACAAAGTGACTCTCAAGTACGTGTGGCTGCCATAATAAAGGCTACTTTGTCATATTAACACAACAGATGGAGTTTGTTCAAAGAAGAGGAGCTCTTCCACTCCTCCAGACTCCCGCATTGAATATGGACATTCACATGCCACAACTTCTCCAAATGCTGAGTGCATTGAATCCAGTCCTTCAACCCAAACCTTTCCTCTATGTTCTCACAGACCATAACCAAAACTCATATCCATTGGTGACCCAATAGCAATGCAATTCCAATTCATTACTTGTGAATCAGCAGCCGAAACTTTGTTTTCCTTTGCCTGTGGCTCTCAAAAGATCAAAGCAATAAAGTTGTAACCAGCCTTGTTCTATTTTCAAGAAAAAGCTCAAGGGTGAGAAGGAATGAACAAACGGGTCTGATTCAAGCAAGGTTTGGAAAAGAGAAGGTCTGGTTGCCCATTCAAACTTGAGTGAGCCGACCGGAATGCTGAGACAAGAGTTGCAATGCTGGGACTAAATTTCTGAATGCCGGAATGGACAATCAATTGTGTTTTTATCTTTTGTTGGCATGTTGTCCATAGGGATTGTCCTATCTTGTGGATGATCCCCTGTTATCTGTACGAACTTCCACCATCAAGGTATTTCCTTTTTAATTCAATTTGCTTTCTCTATGATCTCTGTGATGTGTCTGGAGAGTGTTTGCTTCCTTTCTCGTTCCTGGTCTTGTCCTTGGGAGTTTGTGCACGTGCCTCTTTTTGCTACCCAGTGCTCGTTTCCTTTGAGAGTTGTGAGTTGTTCCAGTGAAAACTGATGGCTGCCTTCACCATAGTCGCTTTTGTTTCGCATCCTTTCTGATGCTGACAGGGGCTGGATAAGTACGTACACTAGAATTATTTGGGTGTTCATGTATGCGCGTAAGAGTTCTTTCTTTCAGGATTTCTTGTTCCTTAGCACAAAAACTCCTTACAGCTTGCTGAATTTCCTTCCCCTACCCGCTTCCCACTCTCAGCTACCACGTTTATTTCTGTTCAGTTAATAGAAGCACACAGTGAAATGCAGGTATGTTCTGCACCCAATAGCCAGTACAAACAACATCCTGCAAGTCCATGAAAGGTCCAGATGGTCCTCCAAACACAACACAACCCTGTCCCCAGGAACAAACAAAAAGGTTCCTGAAACTCCTCCTCTCTGGGGTTTAGTAACCATGTGGCATTGCAGAGACTTTGAAGCCACTTCCAGAATTCAGACACAAAAATGAGAGGAAAATCAGACACTGTATTAACCAGCTCCAGCTACGTAAACAGAGCAGTATTACCAGACTATATCATGCTTCTGTCACTGCAACAGTTTCTCTTATTCCTCTATGGATGCGGGACAGCAAAATCTCCTGGTTGCAGAGAGCAGAAGGGCAGAGTGATTTTTTAAAATCTGCCTAGTACAAACATTTTCAGACACAAAGCATCTTACACAGATGAGGCACTGACACAGCCCACCAGCCTAGCACGAGGTGGTGCTGAAAACATCCTGCTGTTGGGTCACGGCCGGTACTGCTACCAGGGAGTAACGGCGCTGTTCTTTCCCCTGCCAGAACCACGAGTTCATTGATGAGCAGCTGTTCGAGCAGAACTGCATGGAGAGCTCGATGCAGAACTACCCGTCTTCTCGGAGCCCCTCCTTGTCGAGTCACCACGGGTTGACCACCTCTTGCTGTTCTCGCCGTAACAAGAAGACCACTCACCTTCCCAACTCCAGTGTGCCAGCCACTCGCCTCCGTAGCATGCAGGAGCTCAGCACCATCCACATCCAGTGCAGCGAGCAGCCCTCACTCACAACCAGGTACAGTAAGTAGGCTCTCGCTGCTAACTACTGCATGCAAAGCCCTGCAGTACGTCGTCCAACTCAGTGTTTGATGCAGCTTCTTAGAGGCCTATTTGGCAGCCAAGGAGCAGGGTCTAGAGCTGGGAGCATCGTTGTTTTCCTCCCTCTAATGACAACCCGAGGAAAGTTGCTCCTAGCTGTTCTCTGTAAGTGTTTTGGGGGAGAACCAGGTGAAAGCTCGACTCTAGTGCAGCTCTTCTCTGACCAGGCAGGACATAGAAAAAGGAATCTCAGCTGAAACCTACCTGTGAAGTGCTACCACCGGTGACTCTCAGCTCACTGGTTTTTATTATACGAGCCTGAATGACAGCTGTGAGCAACAAGCAGCACTGAGAAACAAACCAGGAGAAATTTCACGATGGTGTCTTCACAGCTTTCACCTAGAGAGACGTCAGTAACACATTACTCTTCTGATAGAAAATTCTGAGATAGCATCATTTCACACAAAACTTACTGAAAAATCCTTTCCTTGCTGTGTATTTCTTGCAGTAATGAAATGACTTGCTAAATCCTCCTCAGCCTATTAAGCTTCTTGAGCACTGGGCTGTTTCTGAACCTACTATTTTTCTCCTCCCCACTCCTATCAAAGGGATCTGGAAACTGAAACAAAGCAGCCTTTAGGGCAGCAAAGCAGCTACTTTGTGCCAGGAAGAAGTCAGAACAGCATTTCAGAGGATGAATTATGAATGAATAAGCACAAAACAAGTCTCAGGCTGTTGCAGTTTCAAGATGACAGTAGTTTAAACCAGCACCTGAAACAGTAATTCAGGGGAACACGAACCCATTTCCAGTGTGTGCTATATCAGATGCTAGCAATGATATCTTAAATGTCAACACTGTTAGTTATGTTACTTGCTTACCAAACTGTGAAAGAATAGAGAGAGAAAAAAAAGCTTTTGAGTTGTACTTTATGTGGAATGCAGCTCGCTGGGCGTGCTGTGTGCCAGTGGCAGAACCGCCCAGGCTCCAAGAATGCCCCAGTCTCAGCTTGCGACTGAGGTAACCAGGGAGCAGAATGGGTTCCGTGGTGTTCTTGGGATGCTTGAGAGATCACAAAACATCCTCTTGGTGAGTCACTCTGAGATAACAACAGCAGTAGCTTTCCAACTGGGAGCTTTATATTTTAAAAGGACAGGCCTTGTGTTTAAAATGAGCATGTTGGGCTGGTAATAGCAGACTCCTGTAGCTGTGCAGATGCACAGAAATCAACCTATCATTTTCACTCTGTAATTAATTATAGGATGCAATTGATGCAGATCTAATAAGAATGCTCCCAGCTGCCAGATCCTTGAAACTACTGCAGAGATGAAAAAAAATAGAAAAGATCAAGGGACAGTGAATTTGAAAGAGGCATTCGAAATGCAAGGAAAACAACATCTCTTTCTCAGAAAGAACTACCTGTGCTCTGAAAAGACGGAGTACACAGTATGGTGTATTTAGATACCCTCTTAATTACACTAGAATTATGCAGGAATGAAGTGGAAACGCGGAACAATTTGCCCTGTGAAAAGCTGTAGCCTAACCACGAGGAATATTTAAAAACCGCACTGTGAACTGGGTAGAAATGAACGATGCCTTGCAGGAACTGGGGGGAGCATTTAGGTGGATTCTTCTGAGTATTTCGGTGCCTTTAGTTCAGAGGAGTAAGACACTGCTTAAGAACAAACCCCGTTCCTATCCTTTCTACTGTCTGCTTTTAAAAAAAGCCACACCACTAACTCTGTTTTCCAGTCGTTCCAGTCTCAACATGAAATCAGATGATGGGCTACGACCGAACTGCAAAGCTGCCCAGATAACGACAGCCATCATCAGCATCCCCACGCCGCCGGCGCTCACGCCAGAAGGTGAGAGCAGACCTCCACCCAGCAGCCCGGGCCACTCCACGAACATTTCTACCACCACCACGAGCAACATAGTCAAGGTCTCTGCCTTGTAAGATGTCTCATGCACAGAAGGAGGCTGGAAGACCAGTGCCCCTCTCCCTCCACACCTCCATGTTCCCTTCTTGCTGCAAATTGTGCCTGGATGGACGAACCTGACATTTTGTCATCGAATTAGCAATGGAGACCTAACGAGGCAGCTTTCTTCAGACTTGCATTCATGCGTTGGACTGAGGAAGGATTAGGAAAGGGAGGAAGAGTTTTGTTAAAAGTAAAATCTGCATGGAGAGTACGTTGTGCCATGGTACAGGGCAGAAATTACCTGTGAAGGCTGAAGGGAAGGAATCATCATGGCAACAAGAGAGTCAATAAAGAAAACAGAAATATAACACTGTGTATCGCAGCACCTTTTTAAAGGTTTTTAATGGATAATATTTATTCATGAGGAAATGACTGAAAAAGGTGAAAAACAATGGATTTTGTGAATTTTTTTTCTTCATGGAGCAGAACCTTTAAACCAACCAAAATTTCACATTTTTTTTTCTTTTATAGGAAAAGATTTAGACAAAGAAGCCACCTGTCACAGAAACCTATTTCCATTCCTCTGTGTGTGTGCGTGCGAGTGTGCAGCAGAACCACAGAGCCACACTGCATTTCAAAGAGCAGAGCATGTTTTCATGATTCAGTGCACAGTAGGAAAATACAAGCATGTGTCAGCACATCCATGTGCACACGTGCACACACACACACACCTATTTCACCCTGGATGGCATTCTTTATTTAGACACTTTTGTATCCGCCTTTTAAGTCAATACAGTGCAATTGCAAACAGTGTGTTTGTCTGCTAATTATTGTCTGTGAAAACATATTTGTGGAAAAAAAAAAAAAAAGACAGGCTTCAGTAGAGTTTTAGTCCCACATGGGTATCCGCTTTCTATTTTTGTTATCACTTACTTGTAAGAGTGTGACTAGACTACCAGTTCTGTATTTTTAAAAAGGAAAAAAAAAAGTAGGATTCTTTTTTAATACTGTACACACAAATGGCAAAGAATGAGAAAGCACTGAACTCAACTGCATCAAGTGTTCATAAGTCTGACAGAGGTTTCTTGTAATGTATGCCCATGATTTTTTTAGTTTTGTTTTCTATGTATGAATTTCTTTGCTAGCACTGATCATACAACCCATTGTAAATAGTAGCCAAATAATGTCTGGATCTATACTTGATGATAATTAACCCCACAGCCAAATATCTTGCATGGACAGAGAGGTATTTGGCTTTTTCACAGTCTTGGGGCTCCAGTTGTCTCATCAACGGCTTCTGGGTTGCACTGATTTTGGGGGTAGACTAGGTTAGCGATTTTAGTTATGCGGTCCCAGCACAGGCTATACAGCATGCATCCACCTGAGAAGGGGGAGCAGTACTGGATTTTGGAAAACATTTGATAAATTGTGGTATAGACAGCCTTTTCTTTTTGCAGTTCTATAGTCAGTTTGAGAAAATTCATGTACTTCTAGTCAACCAAAAACTGTAACACTGGTACTGCCAGGAAGCTAAAACTCTTAACTAAGGTGCGGTCAGTCCTAGCCCCCTCTTTCAAATATCTTCCTAGGAATGAGTTATTGTAAGGAAATACATAGTTCCAAAACATAACTGATTTTTTCCCTCTAAGAATAACAACTTTTTTCTTCCATTCTGCCCTTCTTCGAGTCCTCTTTTCATAACAGGTGTGATCCATGAAGGGCAGAGGGAGAAACTGCCACCCACCTCTCGCTTCCTGAGCCTTCCACTTGTCATACACTGTCTGGCTAATTCTTGTGGTTATGCACAAATGCCCCGTCAAGACCCTACACACACCCATAAATGGCAACGAACCTAGCCCCCAACAGCTTGCAATAGAATAGATTTCAAGTATCTTGTTTCTGAAAAGCGATTTTACCAACACTACAGATAACTACTCACAGCATGTTTGAGGCTGATTCAGCAAAGGGATGTTTCGTTTTGTTTTTTAACATCTGTCATAATCTATCCTGATGTAATATTTATATACACATGTACACACATACGCGTATAAATAAATACACAGACACATACATGTATAGATAGATAAATAGACCTACATGCTGACTTAAACATACGAGCTAGCAACCTGCTTTGTTAGCACTCCTAACCTACTAGTCTATACAGTGGACTCAGATGGCTCACGCGTTAACTCAATACCCTCCTTAGAAACCTACAACATTCTAGGAATATTAGGGCTATGGCTAAGCCTTCAGTAGCTGCACCAGCTTATAGTCATTTATTCCAGTGCTGTAATATGTTACCGAAAACTATGTTTAGTCCTGTTTTAAATGATTAAAGTGCTCTGCCTTTGCTGCTTCCTGTAGGAGGTTATACTGCAGTTAATCTTACCATTATTGAGTTTTTCCCGATGTTTTAATTTAATCTTCTTTTGCTTTATTTAATTTCATTATGTCATCATATCTGCTCCCCATCTGAACACCCTCAGCCTTGTAGATCAGAGGCCTTGCTCTCCACCACTTTCCACCTTGCAACCTCATTTATACTGGCACAGAATGAGGGTTAAATGCTACCATGCTGATAGGGTACAGTGTTCCTTCCAATGCACAGGAGTAAACAATCGCAAAGAGCCAGGGACTCAACGTGGACTCTCAGGGCTGCCTTTCTTTCTCCTGATTTACTGTGGAGTGGTAAACAAGCCACTTCATCTCTCTGCATCTATTTCTTTATCTGTAAATAGCAATCATAGCAACCCCTTTCTAAAGCGTGTTTGGCACATTTCATTGTTATCGATCAAAATGCTTTCTGAAAAAAAACCAACGTTTTTAAGTGGCAAAAATATAAGCAAGGAGGAAAGCCAGTCCTTGGGGTTTCTGGATGGCTGCCTGGTCTCATATTACGGCAGCCCTCGTCTTTGTTCTTTTCCATGGAGGAGGAATCAGTGTTATCCTTGCCCAAAAATATTCGGTTTCTACCATTAACTTCGCATGTGCAGCCCCATGCAGTCAGTACTTCAGCACAGACGTTCAGAGGATAAAGACAGACAAAATTAAGGAAGTCTGAGCCCAGAGGAACAGGACTAAAAATATTTTTAATGGAGGCATTAGCGCCTTTTATATGCTGATTTGAAGTAGAGTGAGTAATGTTTCCAAAAGCACTTGAAATATGCTTGCACAAAACCTCTCATGGATTGCCCAACACAGCTACATCCTCATTATGGGAGCACTGTGCATTCATTGAAACAGCACAGACAAGAATCTATCGCCATCATATCAGCGGTTGGTAGGGCAGAACAAAACATCCTTCAAATGAGATGCATGAAAGAAGGAAAAACATTTGCCCACAAGAGCGCAGGAACTGTACCACAGCCACTTTTTCCTACAATAATGGAAAGCAATTACCTTGACTGAACTGCAAGGCTCTTCGTTATCTTTATAGCAACCTACAAACCATTTCTGAGATAGAGACAAGTCAATCCTGAGAATTCCCAGACCAGAACTTTAGCCAAAGGCCTTGGGCCATTCTCTTCTGTGGTTCCCAGTACTGCCCTGCCTTACCAGTCTCCCTGTCCCCTTCCCCAGTACCAAGCATGCCCAGGGCCAAACACAGACATTGCCACGGATACAAAAACCAGCACGTACCCTGCAGTCCTCATCATTCCTGATGCATGGAGAAGGGGAATTCTTCAGGCGTGGGCTGCCTCCAGGAGAAGTATCCAGAAACCCAGGCTGCTTCTAGTCCTGACCCCTTTCTGAAAGGCAGGGGGTACAAAACAGCCTGATCAGCGAGACTGCTCAGCAAAACCTCAATAGCATCTCAGCAGTTCACCTCAAAAAACCTTCCCCCTCCCTCTAATTCCTTGCAAGTTCTGATAGCTTTTCCTTCTTCATGAAAAAAAGATACAAAGAGATTGTTGGTACAGAAAGCATGTGGAAGGGGGTTGGTTTTCCAGTCTTTCATAAAGCAATACTAAAAATATTAGAGAAGCAACACCTTCATCCAAGCGTTTTGCTTCTTTTCAGAACTCATTTTTGAGGGAAAACTATTTCCACAGATTTTCAGCCTATGCCATCGATTCACTCACTTCTCACCTGGCATTGCATTGCTAATGGAAGGAAACACACCCAATTAGTAAAAGAATGACGAGAAATACCTTTCCCATCCAGGCTTCAACTTTCATCTACTCTTTCAAAAATCCAACTTTTCTTTTCCTTAAACATCTTAGGTACAGCCATAAAGAAGAGGCTACTGACAACACAACTTGGTACAAAAAAATTAAAGAATAAAAATGTAATCCATGCCCCGCTAGCACAAGATCCTTCACTGCAATATATCACACTGCTTTCTCTAGATTACATTTAAAATTCTCCACAGAAAGGACTCCCACTGCTTCCCTGGAGAGCTTATTCCAGACTAATAGATCTCAATGTCAAGGATTTTTCCCCTGCTGTTCAGCCATAATTCTCACCTTATTTTCCCTTTCCCTGTTGTCATTATACTTTCACATCTTGTCAAATTATTCTCCTTTCCACGTGGAAAGAAAGCTGCCTTTTTTTTTTTTTTTTTGCATGAAGTTATCATTGTAAAAGTAAAATGGGGAAAAGGTAAACCAAGTAACACACGTGGCTTTAGTGTGGAATAAAATTAATATATAATTCAAAAGGAAACATTAGAAAAATACGTTCCTCTTTATATTTTTCAGAAATACTAAATTTGAATCAATGCCGTTTGCCTAAACTGAAACAGTTGATAGCATAGTTGTGCTGTAAACCATCATTCTAGCTAAGACAGCTTAAGGGTGTGCATGAAATTCAAATACCAGCTAGAGGAAGCAAAGTTTCTTCAAGTATTTTGCTTTTTTTTTTTTTTTTTTTTTAAGTAAAGAGGTTGCAAACATTGTATCTTATGTGTATTATAAAACAGATTCAGTATATTAAAACCACATTTAATTTATGGGTTGCAACATCCCTTGGATCCTGTTTTAGTATTTTATCAACGTCAGATGTCAGAGCTACAAAGTCGGCATTCATGGATGGCTTACAAACAGCAGCAGCTTTGAACTAAAGACTGCATTGTGCTTTTAAAATTAGGCAAATAATACCCATTTTCCACATAACTTACCAATAAAATACACCTTGATTGGAAAAAGTCACTTCTCCAACACTTCAAGCAACTGCACTAGATATGCAATTTCAGAACTCAAGTTTTTAGGCTTCACATTTCCGGACGCCATAAACACCCTTCATAATGGTTTTATTCTAAAACCTTAAAAGCAAACACGATGCAGTGTGCACATTGATTAGAGGTAGTATCAGGAACCTACGTTCTACTCCTAATTGTCTTGATGAATCACTAAGTGACCTAGAAGAAGTCATTTCACCTCTCTATGCCAATTATACAAGTTGTATAGCAATTAATAACTCCTTTTTTAAAAAAGTGAAGCTCAGTTCATTAACACCGACAAAAATACCATAGAGAAAGTGTACCGGAATAGTACTGCTACTTCCATTCAGAACACAAAAACTGTGCCAGAAAAACTACAGGTGGATCACTCAAAAGACCAGGTGACAAAGAGCTTGTGAAAATTCCTTCCTGAGTTTCGATCTCAGTCAATAGTCTGTTACTTTCGTGTGTATATGTGTGCACGTGTTTTCGTTTTGATTTAAGCTAGTACTAGTCACAGGGAGTCACACAGCTGTGTGGGTGAGAAGTCAATAACCATGCCGAATGTTCTTCTCAGTTGTGGCAACTATGACTGGGAGCTCCCCCAGGCTCCTCGGACCAATGAAGTATCTTTCAAAACGCGTGTGATGGTATATTTTTGATAAATTAGTAAGGCATTCCAATGGTGTTTTCTTTAGGAGTTTTATGTTATGAGAAGCTCTCAACCTTATTTTCTATTTTCGTACTATAAATGGGCTTTGCTTACAACCATCAGAGGACAGATACAAAATGTACTGTATACAACTGCAGGTAGCT